CTGCTAAAGAGTATCTCCTGGTACTGAAAATGTTCAGATGAGGCTGGCAGATATGCAGAGCTTACAGGAGACCTACACTTCCTGAATGGCAGTTGAAGGACCAAACAGTATGTCTTGGGTCTGAAGGCCCATGAGCTCAGCAAGTTTGCTGATGATACTAAACTGGGAGGAGTGGCTGACACACCAGAATGTGCTGCCATTCAGAAGGACCTGGACAGGCTGGAGAGTTGGGCAGAGAGGAAGCACCTGAAGTTCAACATAGGCAAGTGCAGGGTCCTGCCCCTGGGAAGGAACAACCCCATGCAGCAGGACAGGCTGGGGGCTGACCTGCTGGAAAGCAGCTCTGCAGAGAAGGACCTGGGAGTCCTGGTGGACGACAAGTTGAGCATGAGGCAGCAGTGTGCCCTTGTGGCCAAGAAGGCCAAGGGTGCATTAGGGGTGCATTAGGCAGAGTGTTGCCAGCAGGTCGAGGGAGGTGATCCTGCCCCTCTACTCATCCCTGGTGAGGCCACACCTGGAATACTGTGTCCAGTGCTGGGCTCCCCAGGACAAGAGAGACATGGCACTCCTGGGGAGAGTCCAGCGGAGGGCTACAAAGATGCTGAGGGGACTGGAGGTGCCCAGTGATAGGACAAGAGGCAAGGGGCACAAACTGAACCACAGGCAGTTCCGTCTGAACGTGAGGAAAAACTTCTTTGCTGTGAGGGTGACAGAGCCCTGGAACAGGTTGCCCAGAGAGGCAGTGGAGTCTCCTTGGCTGGAGGTACTCAAAACCCATCTGGACACAGTCCTGGGTGGCCCTGCTTGAGCGTGGTGGTTGAACTAGATCTCCAGAGGTCCCTCCCGAACTCAGCCATTCTGTGTTTCTGTGAAAGGCAGTCCCGGATTTTGGCTGTACAGCAGAGAGTCTCCTCAGTGGCAGTGGTGAAAGCCATTTCCCATGACAGTGATCCCTGCTGCAGTGATTCTCTGGGGACAGCATGTCCCTATCAGATAAATAAGAGCTGCAAAATAAACCACCAAAATTGCTGCTAAGCAAGGCTGCAGTGGGATCACCATATCATAATCTCTCTCAGATGTTTCTCTTCATGTTGCCAAGAGACTCTTCATGCATAAAGAACAAATTCAGAGAAGTGAGTTTATAAACTGCCTTTCTCTGTGTTGTACTGGAGGTGGGTAGAAATGCAGCAAGATTTTCAGAGCAATTAGTTGATTTTTTTTCCACCCATAGTATCACCATGGCATGCAGCAACCTGTGTCGAGACAAGCAGATCCTTACGTATGCTTCTATCCCTGCACAGGGATACTGAACAACAGGTTGATATGCCACTTGCAGCAAATAGCTGCAAGCAGATGTCAAAACTCAGTGCTGAAACACAAAGTGATACAAGTCCAAATGGGCTTGTATAAGCCCATTTACATATGGTTCTGTACATACTGTAATTGCTCCCACAATAAATTGATAGTAATACTTTGACTGAATTGATTGATCTCGAGTTCATCTTCTCAGGATAACAGGGTTTTCTCTAAGACGATTGAAGGTTGATTAGTTGGAGACTGCTACCAAAGCAATTTGTAACATTGTTTATATTTTTTTCCTGTGTTTTATATTTCATAGCAAAAGTCCAGCAAGAATGGTGAATGGAAACTGAGAATCAAGCAGCTTATGTAGTTGAAAATGATTCTTATTTTTCAGTGAAATTGGCTGATTTACTGAAACTCGATTCTAATCTTTTCATTTAAAATCTAGCTTTTCTATTGGTATAAAAACCTAAGGAGCTGCCTCCATGCTGATTTCATTTGCTTATTGGAAAATATGAGCCATTTGATTGCCAACAGTAGAAGTATTAATTACAGAAATACCAAAATTGAAGGGAGAAAAGCAAAAGAAGCAAAATAAAATGTATTAAGTTATTTTCTAGTAGGACTTTAAATGCATATAACCTTGTTTGTGCCTGGGGTTGTGCTTTTGTAAACCAATTCCAAATGGCGATAGGAGTACTCCATTTACTGTGATAAAGCTTTCTCAGTCTGTGGTAATCTGACATTAATTAAATTATCACTGCCATAGGATTCGTTTGCGTGTGGATTGAGTGATATGCCTTGACTCTTCACGTAAGTGTTTCACACTGCCACCTACTACTCAGGTTAACTTCTATATTATGCACTATAGCCTTCTGCAGGAAGTTATCTCCTGCAAACAGTATGAGTCCCCAAGAACACACTCTTCTTGGAAATGGGAAACACCTCCCAGCAAACGGACATACAACTAATTCAGCGAAAATTCCCAATGACTCAAGTGAATCTTGAAGACTTCAGAAAAAATATTAGGATATTCACAACTGCCAGCTTGGTCTGGGACAGTATCAGAATAAAAGCAGATGTAGTATAACCATCTCAGGAGCTGAAACTTTCAGGAAGACAATTAGCAATGTGAAATCTGTGGCAAGCTCACAACAGCAGGTTACAGAAAGTTAACTTTTAGTAAGCGTAGCTGACATCATCTAGGAGATACAAGAACTTAGAATTTCCTTTTGCATGTTACCAAAACAAAATAAGCTGTCACAGCAACTGTAATAAATCAAGGCTTGTTATGTATGCTTGTCTGTACTTCATGTTGCTCTTGGATTCTTGAAACACTTTTTGAATATATTCTGCTTCCTTCATCTCCATCTCTTCCCTATTTCAATCTTCATTTCACGGAGAAAGGGAAAGGGTCCTATGATTCAACTTAGTCTAAAACCTGGTGCTCTTCTTTCACCAGAATTCAACGCAAGGTGCAGAACATGCATGATCCCACTGCAATCTCCATTAGCTACCATTCTTTCCAGTCCCAAGCTGGCTTTGACAAAATCACAAAGCAGACTTCCAAAAAGCAAGACTGGCTTGAATGTTGGATTTTCTATTTGCTTCCCACTTTGGAATAATATTTATTATTTATTTTAACTGTTATTTATCCATGAAATATAGAAATTTACTTGTTTTTTGAAAGTTAAAGTTTTCAAATAGTTAAAGGTTGTAAAGAGCTGAGTCTTCAGATGACTACTGTGAGGCACACAGGAGCTGGCAACGTTGTTCTGTATCAGGTGAAGATAGAATTAAGACAGTGGTTGATCACAGAAGATGAAAGACTGAGTCTTTGCTCTGCTCTTCTTCTCCCAGGCTAACATTAATGCCTCTCCCATTGGGAAAGCAACTTCACAGGACAGTTTCAGGAATTCATGTTACAAATAAGGTAGGATAAGCACCCCAAACTTTATGAGACCAATAATATTTAAATCCTCCACTGGGTCAGAATCCCAGGGCCTATCATATTTTCTTTCTTTTTTTTTTTTTTTTGGTGCTGTGCAGGGAAAAAAAGCCAAAGTGGGGCTTAACAGAATGAACTCAGCCATAATAGCATTCAGTTTAGAGGAGCAACCAGCACACAACAAACACATTTGTTTGGAGGAGTCTCTTACTGTTCTTTACAAGTCCGAGCAGCGGTATTCCAGGTGACCTTGTGATTCACTACCAGGAAATAGCAGCTGCCCTCATGGTGGCTCCATCCAGCAGGACATTTTTTCGTACTCACCTCCTGAAATAAAAGGCAAAATAAGCTCCTGCTCACAGTGACCTAGTTCTCACACTAATAATCAGGCCAAAGGCTGGAGGTGCTGCTCATGGCTTCTCCAGAATTGAATTGAACTCTGACTTTAATATGTATGATAAACTAAAGCATTGCTTAAGAAAAATAAAGGAATACATGCCTGCCAGAGAAACCTACAATTTATAATAAGTATTGAATTAAGGCTAATTCCACATGGTTCCAGATTCAGAAATCTTCTTGAAAGAGCATATTTGTTTGGATGCTGTTTTCTGGTTCCCACAGTCTATGTTGGGAATTTATGGGCTGTAACAAAATCCAGTATGGGATCCTAAGGAAGGACAGGTGATATATATTTACAAAATCCCTAAGTGAGTTGATTTTAGTTACTCTCACTCATTTTCCAACAGATTTCATTCACTCACTTTCTCACCCCCACATTCCCACAAGCACCAGGACATCTGTGCCCAGGTGGTCTGGCAGGATAACCTGCTCATGATGCAGAGGAAAGGCAACCCCAGCAGTCAGGCCCTCATCGCATCTCTGGAGACCTTCTCACTTGGTGCCTGCCAACCTTACTCTGGACAGCTCTTTTATCCCCTGTAGAGTCAGTAGCTGTTACAGGGTGGTCCTCTGCTTCAGAGTCTTGCTTATTGTAATCTTCATAAATCTAGGTGAGGTTGCAGCTGATTGTCTTGTTTGTTAGGAATATATGCCTATTTTCTCTGTGAGCTAGCAGGAAAAGGAATGGCATGTACGGTACGCTGCAACCTTGTTGCCGTGCTTATGCTTCTAGGATGCAGGGTCTTTCACTGACAAGGGATCTGTGCTGGGGTTGTATTAGAGTGCAGGCCTTCTGGTCTAGGCATAAGAAACACGAGTCTCAATTTTACTGCTGGGAGTGCTGTCCTTGGAGCAGCATGGTGGGAACTGTGTCCTTCATTATCAATACTCACTATTCTTTTAACACTTTTCCTGCTTTTTCTTCGGGTGTTGCACACCATTTCCATTCAAACTTCGTTTGTACAATTTTGTTCTGAATTAAAGTAAATCTAGAGATTTACTCTAATAAATCTCTAAAGTAAATCTAGAGATCCATACTGACTATCTGTGGGCTTCAATAAATCAGATGGTTAAAGAATCTCCAGCTGTACCTTATACAAGAAAAGAATAGGGTCTGGCGGGAGAAATAATTACCACTTCTTCACAAAATCTGATATTCTTCTTGCAGAAAGCAGGAGCATTTATATTTTCTTTGGACTACCAAATCAACGTAGAGCATCCCAATGCAGTAGTGTGTCAGGATGTGCATGGGTTTATACATATATATATATAAAATATTGTTATAGGTTATAGATTGTATGTTTATTTATATACGCAAACAAATATACACTTCATGTCAGCTCTTCAGAATGAAACTCTTGGGATTTCAAGTGTCAAATTAGTGCACATTGTTGAGCTTCATCATGAATGAAAAGCCTATTGAAACTTATATTGGAAAGAAGTTTAAAGACATCACAGTAGGTTACTTGAATTCCTTTCAATGAAAAAATATTAAAATAATCTCTTTTACCCATATAAAACATAAACTGAGTGTACTAGGGAAGCACACACAAAAATAGCAAAATTCAGAATCATTTGTAGATAATGACTATAGAACTTAACAGTAGGGAGAGCACAGGCTCCTGTAGATGTTCCTTTAGTAAGATAAAGGACTTAAAAGATAATTCTTTTTCCAAGTCATACCAAAGAATTGACAGAAAATTATATTTTTCGTGAAAAACACTATAGATTGGCTTATAAGTCGTTACTGCTCATTTGAGCTTTTTGTTGAGCTACGTGTGCTCTGATTTAGATGCATACTAATGGCAGCATTTTTACTTTGCTTTGGGAATTCCAGAACTTCCATATTATTTGATCACAATGATACAGCTTTTGAGTGCTTTCTTCGTAATGCAAGAGCCCCTTTAAATCTGGCGCACAGGCCTTTGGAAAGGAGTAAAAGTCCTAGAAATTGGAACAGTGTTTGAACATTCGAGGCAAAATAATTACACACAAACAAAGCTACATGGAACAGATGAACTGGCTCTTATGTTAAATCTTCATGACACTAAAACTCTACAAGGACTGTGTTGTTAATTCATCTATGTGTTAGATAACCTCTATTTTGGAGTGGGAAGAGTTAGGCTACAGATCTTAGAGGTGTTAAATCATTTTTGAAAACAGCATGACTGAAAACAGATGGTGAGAACGCCTGTGAAACAAAAGGTTTTATACCTGATGGCTTGAGCTTAGTTCAGATGCCAGTTCTGCCTTATCAGCTTGCGGGATTTCTGTCTTCCTAGAGACGATTGTATCTATCTGAGATTGTGCTTGGTTAATTACTGAGGCTTCAGCCTTCCTGTTTGCTTTAGCTGATGAGGTGTCTTCCTCTATTCTGAGCGATACCATCCCGTGATACTTGATTTTACAGTAACATACACACACACACAAAATAGGAGAGGGAAAAGAAAAGGTTACCACTTATCAGCAAATCTTAAACAAACCCCACCAAAAATAGAAAAGAATTAAAAAATAAATTGTTATAAATCAAGGGGAAATGACACGAAAGAGAAATAAAGATACATCGAACAATAAAATGTTGGTCACAAATAAATTATTATAAAGTTACTCTACACAAAACTTGGAAAGAGCGCAATCAGGAAAAAGTCAGAAATGAAGGAAAAAATACTCATAATACTCTTACTTTGAAAGCCACATCAGTTCCATTTCTAAATACAGATGAGGGATGAACCTGGAAAAGGTAGAATGGCAAAATGAGATGGGCAGATCCATGCATCATAGAGGGAAAATGACTGCATGTAAGATTCATTGCATAACCTAGGCTATTGAATCATGCAGAACATATCTTAGTTTCAGTTCCTTTTCTCTGAGAATGGAAATGAATGACCTCTGAAAACAGACATTAAAAGTCACCCATTAAAAGTGTCTTTATACAGGTTCCATCGTCTTTTTAGATCATAGCGGAGTGTTATTAAACTGCTTAATTAAAGTAGCATAAACCAGCTATAAGAGGGAGACTCAGCAGGCAAGCTTTAAGTAACTGTTCCCTGTTTAAACGAACTGTATTTTCAGCTTTACAACTTCAGGACCAGATGCACAGCTTGTATACATTTGCCCTGGCTGCAGTGACTTAGTAGAACCCTGCTTCTTTCTCCTAGCAGACCCGTTAAGTTAGACAGGATTACAAACGGCATAATTACTCAGGCTTGTTGCTTCGTGAGACTTCCCCAGCTCTGTCTTCCTTCCTTGCTTTCACACATACATCTTCGAAATCAGAGATTTCTCTTTTTTCACTGTTTCCAAATAGTTCTCAAGTCTGACTCAGAGCAAACTCAGGTATTTTACGGCTAGTGTGTAGTTAGGTAAGATCACCGCTAAAATATGGCAACTAAATAAAGATGTCAAATCCCAAAGAACTCATAAATCAGTCCATCACTGCACGATAGAAATATCTTACTATTCTGCCGTTCCCAATCACTCTCAGCCTGGTCCTTGACCGATTTGCCAAGCTGTGTTCCTGCAGCCTGTCCCCTCTATGTTCTACCATCCCTTTGGAAGGAGGCGGTGGGATGCCTTCCAAGTGAGTGCTGCCAGGCCTGGAAGGTGAGGAGAAGCCTGAGGAAACTGGAAACAGTGTGCCTCTTCCCCAGAAGTCGTGCTTATTTTGGCCAGAGGAATGGAAAGAGCTGCACTGACCTGAAAACATAAAAATGGCAGATGGTCAGTTCTAACTCCATGAGCAGATAAGTGGTCACATTGATATGGGCATGTAAACAGCTTGTCATTAAAAGTTGGATGATTTTTTCACTTGATGTGGTTGATTTGCCATTTGTTCAGCCGTCCTCATTTATGTGATTTCCTTAATTACGACGACAACTGTCTATGCAACTACTACCCGTATATATGCATGCTATTGCATGTAATATATCAGTCTCACTGCTGATCAGAATCTCTGCCAAGTATCTGCTGAAGATCTCTATTTTCATGCGTAAACTGTGGTTTGCGGTTGGATTTTTTTGGACAGGGAGGGGTATCTTTAGCTAATGTTAGTGATATTTCTTTCTTGCCCCACCAGGTTTCTCTGCAGAAATTCAACGCGCAATTGTTCCTCCGCGTTAGTTATGTCAATTAACTCCTAATGTAAATCATCGGTGTTAAAGAGAAACCATATATAAACTTTTAAAGGGATTTTTTTTTTAAAAGAAGCATAATTTTTTGTAACATATGTATTTAAAATGCTATTTCACCGAGCATCAGAAAGGAAGAAATTCTTCGGCTTTCAGAAGTCTCAGCTGCTTTGCTGGTTATTTATATTTTTCTACTGTTATTTCAACTTTAAGGCATGCCACAGTTGTTCACTGAAAAGCACAACAATAACGAGGAAATAATGGCCTAAATGCTATAATAGTCAGTGCTGCATGCTGTATTGTTGCATTGTATAATGTTGTGTTTGTAGAACATTACAAAAATTATTTTTAAGGGCAGAGTTTAGTTATTAGATTTCTTTGCTGAGAAGAAAATAAATTGTGTAACAGTGTAACAACTGTTACACAACCAGCAAAAAGCAGTTCTAATGGACCTGTTTTTTCTAATAAATGAGAACTGAAATCTTGTCATTATGAAAAGCAGTTTCTTTTTCTACCAGCACCCTTCCCTTTTTGTACATGTTGCTTTCTCCATGCTCCATTTCCTAAGAGGAGGGACATGGTTTTGTGAGAGAATAGTGGGTCTGCAGCTGTGCAGCCTGTTTTTTCTAAAAAGAAACCATGCGTTTTGATACGAAGGTAAGTGTTAGCAACAACGTCTTTTGTTGAAAATATGTAGCCACTCACCAAAGATTGTTCCAGGTTTTAAAGATCAAGATCAAAAGCGAGTACCTCTTTTTGAGTCCAAAATTTTCACTACAGCTTTTGTCCTAGTGCCAAGAATGGCATTCACAGGGGAGTTCAGAACTACTTCAAAAACTTCATCACCTTCCTCTAATCCGTCATAGGTAATTGCTATATTCCACGTCTTGGCTGACATTCCTAACAGAAATAAACATTTTAATTACTGTTTAACTACTATTTCAATCAATCTAGGTTTCAAAGAAATATATTAATTAACATGTCTACAGTTAGAAAGGAGTAGCTTGTGTATGCTGTTGTGCTCCTACCAACTAATTGGACCTCTGCTGTTCTCCCAATAACATTAAGACCAAATTTGTTCCCAGAGAATGATGATTCAGCTCAAATGCACACACTGTGACAAAAAGCTGCTTTAGGCATGGGAAATGGTGGCTATAATACGTATATTTAGGACTTCCGTTGCAATTTTAAAGAGAAAATATAGCATATGCTCTTTTATCTTGAAAGCTTAACCTTAGGGACAGAGCAATATTTAAAATATTTGCATATTGATCAAAGAGTACATTGACTCTAATTACAAATTTTTAAAATGCAGATTTTGTACTTAGTTACAAAATTTTGACTCAGTTGCTTGTCTTAACTAGATTAGTTCAGATTTACTGTAGTGGAAATGAGAAAAGATCATTCCAGGATAAAGAAGTAGGCTGGTTATTAGCTGAAAGGCTTCAGAGTTTGTTTGGGAATAGTCAGATGCTGCAGGAGAGAAATGTCTTAGTATAGACGTTGCTGTCATAGAAACATTTTGAGAACTGTTTTTGCATCACAGAATCAGCATTAACTTCTAAAGTTAATATCAAAAACGTAACAGATTTCACTCTCCAAAATGGCAGCTTTCACAATCACTGCGTTTTTATTTTAAAATTAGTTAGCACACTGGTTCATACCTGGATCAAACTGAATAAGCTTAGAGGGAGTCACTGCAAAGTCCTTTCCCAACACAGCAGATATTTCATTGATCTGAGAAGAAATCAAACAGTAGATGCCTTGCTGTTACCTATTTCACCAAACCGGTGCGTTCTGCTTGGTGCTGAAGCTGCTGTGTCTCTCCATGGAGTCTCAAAAAGATATGCCAATCTGGGCATCAACCTAGCCTTGCTCATGATTTAAAACTCATAATCAAGAAAATTTGCTTATCTTAAAATCATGTCTCCTCACCTCT